GTTTCTGTGCTGCGACCTCGACAAACAAACACTCCAGCGAGCGGCTGTTTGCTTATTTCAGGCTGAAGCGGTCACTTAGCGGGCCCGCTGTCAAAAACAAACGTCTTGCTGCCGAGTAAAACTAAGGAGGAAATAAAAACCAACACATACAGGATCTATAAATTAAATCAAATCCAGTGACACAGTGATCTCCCGTCTCCTAGCAAACAGTCAGTCGTCGTCCGAGCATCTCTTTCTGTACGTGGAGGGAGACCTGCGACAAAAGTGGAGTCTTTGGTGGCAAAGCCAGCACCACTCGCACAAGTTCACGCTCCAGGTTGTGAAGAGGTGAAGCTCCTTCAGGCGTCGTCGGTTCCTCCTCCTCCGACCTCCAGGTGGCTGCTCCTGCCTCCTCTCTCTCTCTCTCTCTCTCTCTCTCTGTCTTCGTTTCTCTGAGCGTCGGCCTCATATGATCTCCAGAACGTCGCAGGGCACGAAGCCTCTCTTCTTCCCGCTCGCCACCCTGATGAAGCCGCTTCGCTCGACTTCGCCGCTCACGCAGATCTGTGAAGCCGGAGGAGAGAAGTTAGCCCGACGACGAGAAGCTGACGAGAGTCAACACAGTTTAATGACGGCATGAAGGTAGAACTTGTTCCACAGGAAGGACCCTGCATCCTACATCTCTGAGGTTATTTGTGTGACACCGATGTGCTGATACGGAGTTTACAGTCATCCAGGTCACGGCTAGTCTCATAGATTAATCATAACAACTGGACTTGCCTGAGTTCCTTGAAGACGTTCCACCTCTCATCCAACAGGCTTCGATCACTAGAGTTCCAGATATCCTTAAGGAGCCATCAGAAGAAACTCAAGCAAGTCCAGCAGTTAAACCACAAGAATAACTATGACCTGGATGACTGAGGATCTTCACAGACATGGGCTCCTGAAGGATATAAGTATCTGGAAGTCTAGTCAGTCGTAGCCTCTTGGATGAGAGGTGGAACGTCTTCAAGAAACTCAAGCAGTTGCTACCATTAAACTACGAGAGTAGTGTTGACCTGCTCTACCTGCAGGAAGAAAACTCTTTTGGGAGCATTTTGGGAGTTCCAGATACTTCTGCCCATAAGGAGCCATTAGAAGAAACTCAAGCAGGTCCAGTTGCTACGATCAAACGATGAGAATAACCGTGACCTGGATGACTGTGGATCTTCACAGACAATGGCTCCTTCAGGATATCAGCATCTGGAACTCCCAACTAGTCAGTCAGAGCTGATGAAGCCTCTTGGATGATGGTGGAACGTCTTCAAGGAACTCAAGCAGGTCCAGTTGCTACGATCAAACTATGAGAATAGCCGTGACCTGGATGACTGAGGATCTTCACAGACATGGGCTTCTTAAGGACAGAAGTATCTGGAACTCTAGTCAAGCCTCTTGGATGAAACGTCTTCAAGGAACTCAGAAAGTCCAGTTGCTACGACCAAACTACGAGGACAGTGTTGACCTGCTCTACCTGCAGGAAGAAAACCCTTTTGGGAGCATTGAGTAACCACGTCTGTGAGGATTCTCAGCCATCCAGGTCACGGTTATTCTCATAAATTACTCGTAACAACTAGACCTGCTTGAGTTCCTTGAAGACGTTCCACCTCTCGTCCAGTTGCATAACCGCTTTATGACACCGCACACTAAATGTCAGCAGATATACTATGAGGTCAAATGTTTATGGAGACACTTGTCCACATACTTGTGCGTGCTTGTGTTCTGCAGCTGTATTTCATTTTTAGGATCCTTCGTTGGGGCGTACGTCACACCTCTCTGACTCACCAAACCCGCCAGTGGGTTTGAAAGGCATGTTATCTTTACGCAACGCCACAATTACACCATTGATCAGAGCCAGAACCTGTAACCGTCCTCCACTCATCGGTGATGTGCTGCTCGGTTGGAAACCTCGACCAGAATCACCAAAAACACGACACACATCATTAAAAAATGCCCCAAAATAATCTGATTTATGAAAAAAAAACTTCAATCCTCAGCACGACTCAGCTGTGACCAGCAGTCATGTGACATAAAAACTCTTGTACAGAAATGCCGGCTGTGTTTATACTGAGCAGATAAGAGACGAGTCAGTAACCAAATATCCACAGTATGTTCAATATGAGTTTTTTCCAGGGCTGGTAACGCTTGTGGACTCCTGGGAAAATGTTGACTCCAGGCTTTTTTATGTGTGCGTGGAAGATAAATAGTCAAAGAAATGCAGCTTTCATTTTCCCCTCCTCCTCTTTCTGTCTTTATTTATTGTTATTTCTGGCGTTTACTGAACAGAAACGTTGTGGAGAGCTTCTGGTCGAGGTTGTGCTGCTTCCACAGAGGAGCAGGAGTTCAGATTACAGCGAAAAATGTCACAGGAGCAAAAGAAAAAGTCTTCACAGTGAGGTTTGTTTTATCTATTATTTCATTTATCAGCCTCCGTTTGTTTTTCTCTGGTTTTGACAGATCTGATAATGTTGATAAGCTTTATTTGCAGCTTTTTAAAAGCTTCTCAGAGCGTTTTAAAGATGAATTATTCAGTTTTTCTAATCACTGACTGTCAGAACACGCTGCGCTTGCTTCTCGTTCTGAGCTCTCCACAACATCCTCCCCTGGGTCTGTGCGACTGGAAAAGAGAGTCAGCGGGTCACAGACTTATTTTGTGTTCGGTGGTTTCATCTCCACTGGGGGCTACTTACTCTAAGTCCCCTCAGAGTCCCTGCATGTCCTGGAAAGCATTGTGGGAACAAGATCTAAGTACAGCCATTATGCCCAAACGCTAATTTGATGCTAGCTCCGGCGAGGGGAAGGAATCGTGTGCCGAGTCCAGGCGAGCTTTTCACTGAGTGTCTGTGTGAGAGGAGTCGCTGGAGGTAAGAGGCGACGTGGGAGCTGCAGGAGGGTAATAAGACGGCTAAAGAGCTGCTGGCTAATGTGAATCTGATGCGCGCTAATGGCCGGGGTGTGATGATGAATTAGATGCAGGTGTAATGTGGAAACTTGAACGTCGGCGATAAAGGTCACGACTTCCCCAACAACCCACCATGAAGACCTCTGATACCTGATACTGAGGGCTGGATTAGTCCTCCGTGTGTTTAGTCTTCCCAGAAACAATGAACCCGAACAACAAGCACATCGCTGCTCCTCTTGAGGAAAACAGTCGAGCTTTGAGCCTATTTTAATTTCACTCAGCAGGTTTATATTCCATCACAGCAAAGTCACTGTTTGCTCCAAAACTGACCTCAAGCAAACCTACAGCTAAACCCGACGTACATGAATGCCTTTAAATACACCTGGTCCAGAGTCAGTCGACCCAAACCGACCCGAACGGAGAGTCTGAGCGGCGACATCGGCAGCAGCACGAAGCTCCATCACTTAACAAGCAGCTGTGGTTTAAACAAAACAAGCTCGTGTTTTTAATTAACTGAATCCCGGCACTCCATCTGATTAGAGAATAACTTGAACCCAGCCCGACTCGAGTCCTGGGTCGGGTCTCAGGTCACAGAAATCTACGACACGTCTTCTGAAAACAAGTAAAAGGCTTCCCCCAGATTTAGCATTTTCATACAAAGAAGTACGTTGCAATCAGCATTAATTAAAGAAGCCATAATCATCTAGATAATATGTGCTGGTATCCGCCTGCCATTGAACTTTCTCCTTCTGCCGTCCATGTGTGAGCATTTTCCAAATCGCTTTTACTACCGGAAACAGCAGCAGCATCTGGGGTGGAAGCCACCACACTGAGGAATCTGGATCACGCAGTCCGGCAGCGCTGCTAGTTTCTGTTGTTCACACAACAAAACAAGTCAAGAGTTCATTTACAAAAACAGAAACAAACCTTCAGGAAACCCACTTCTACCTACGACTACCTGAGACAGCATCAATCAAACCAAAGTCATCTCTGTTGTTGTCATTTCTGCTGAGTCAGATCTTCACTTTGATCGATTTTGTCTCAAGCAAACAAAAAAACAATAGTTTTCTGCAAATCTAGAAAAATGGAGTTCTCTGTTTTTGGATACCAGAGCGACAGGGAGGTGAGACGTGGTCTATGTGAGCCGCCTGCTGACAGAAGGCTGAAAACACCTAAACATGTCCTGAACAATACAACCAACCAGTCGAGGGACGTAGACACTGACTGTAGCAGGACCATCTAGGACAGGGGTGCCCAATCCTGGTCCTCGAGAACCCCTATCCAGCATGTTCTAGATGTGTCCCTCTTCCAACACACCTGATTCACATGATCAGAATCGTTATCAGGCTTCTGCAGAGCTTGATGATGAGCTGATCATTTGAATCAGGTGTGTCGGAAGAGGGACACATCTAGAACATGCAGGACTGTGGCCCTCCAGGACCAGGATTGGGCACCCCTGATCTAAGATGTAAGGTTTTCATTCAGCACTGCACTCTGCTCCCATCAGACGCCTTCACTCATCGTTATCGTCATCACAGAGGGTAGATCCAACAGTACCTGCCCCTCCTTCAGGGTGATCTGGCCCTGCTCCTTGCAGCCGATGAACGTCCTGTTGCACCTGAACACTTGGTCTCCGGTCCGCAGCTGGTGAGCGAAGGCTGCTGGGAAGAAACCGATCCGGTCCTCGATCACCCCCTGAAAAGAAATATGAGTTCAGATAAGAGGATGACAAAGCCAGCATTAGAGCCTCGACTAAAACAACTTCCTGTTCCTGTACAGACACCTGCTCTGATTCAGTCCAGTGTAGACGTGGTTTATACACCATGTACAGCTCATGTTACATCAGGGCTCATGTTGGCCTCTGGACTTGGTTTCTGTTGTTCACAGACCAAACAGGCCAGATGTGTGTGTTCATCTGCAGCCTGCACACAACAACAGAATGCGAGATGAGCTTCTTCATGGTCTGCTGGCGACGGGACGCCTCTGCAGTCACCATTCAGCCCTTTGCTCTCCCTAATTTATCCGTCATACTTCTCTGTCCTGACGTGGCCTGTTTCCTCGCTGCTGTAATTGATGGCTTCATTTTCTGTAATTTATCACTTCATTTCTTTAATGGCCTTTTTTTAGGGGGGGACCCACCAAAAATATGCAAATTCATCACAAATTAGCATCTTCAGAAGTTAGTTATTCCCACTACTTCAGAGCACTTTGCTGGTGTCGTACCTTCCACCAGTCGTCGTTGGAGTCGTCCGCCAGTAAGATCCTGTCTCCTGCTCTGTAACACACAAAACCAGAGAAAAAGTCAATTACAACAGAGGAAGAACTACTCAGAGAGGGTTTGTCTTGTATTCGCACAAAAATAATGGTTCTAAAATGGTTCTGAAGAAGGATCAACTGAAGAACCTCTTTAATCAGGGGGTGGTTCCTTACGTACTGTAGGAGGTTCTGTAAAATATTAAAAGTTGGTATTGTGGTGACAGAAGCTAATAAATCCAAAGTTGGCATCTTGTCATATGTCGTCCAAAACCCTAAATATTAAATGTATCGTGAATTCTTATATTTGGTCTGTTTGCTGTAAAGAAACTTGGACGATTATCAAGTTGATGTTTTTTTTAGAACCCGGTGGATCCACAAAGAACCATCTAGAAAATGGTTTTTAGAGTCTATACGAGTCTCTTTTCGCTGAAGTTCTTGGGACGGCCACTTGTGGTGCTGAAAGGAACCACTTCATATGGTTCTTTAAGGCCTGTTTGGGGGTTCTCTGAAGAACCAGTTGAAGAAATGGTTCTTTGAAGGATCGCTTGCTTAAAAGGTTCTTTGTGGAACTGGTTCTGAGGAACCCTGGCTCCAGCTAGTACCTTTACTTTACTGAGTGTATAAAACTACATCGGCCTCCAGTGAAGTTTTCTCCGTATTGCAGTGAAAATATCGTCCACCAGCAACTGTTTGAACCGTCGCTGGAAATTCTCAACTTGCTTTTGTTTATTTCTTTATTGTTTCAGGAGTTTCTACTGAACTTAAAGCTGACGTGTGATTCTCAGAACGTCTGCAGGTTTCACGATAGAGGCCAGTGGCTCCAAACCCAAGAGTCTAGCGGCTGCTCTGTGTGATGCTGTTCTTTCAGTTTTTCATGTTACAGTTTGATCTTAAAGGTTGTCGGTGTGTTTTGTCTATTACATTTTATTTTGAAGACTGATTGTAATCCCGTTTCCTGTCTTGTTTTCTGTACATATTGTGTCGTTGCCTTTCTGATAACACGTTCAGCACTTTGGTCATCGAGGCTCGTTTCAACACTTGCTGTACAAATTAACTTGATCTGATCCGACAGCTGTCTGTTCTGAGTGGAAAGAACATAAAAGTCAGACGTCCGTGCACAGCCAGTGGCTCCACACAACCAGACTCCAGCGCCTCTTTTGTATATTTGTGCACGAGCTGAATGCAGGCGGTGGGAACCAGAGCCACGGTGAATCTGGCACATGCTAACGATCTGAACACGCTGAACCGCCACCGTCTACCAGGACCCAGGGCTGAGCGGACCAAACACACCAAGTCCATCAGATGAGTACATGTAGGGTGAGGATGCTGCATAATCCAGCAGAACAGAAGGTGTTCTCACCCCTAAATGACACTTGATAAACCTTAATTCTGTTTGCTGTAAGTAATTCCCCTCCATCCAGGAAATGCGTGATTCATCGTATCCCATCGCCGCATGTGCCGTAATTACTAACATCTGCTCCAAAGCCGTCAGCTAGGTTTGACCAATAAAAATCAAAAGGACCAGCGCAGTCGAGCCAAATGTTGGTTTACGTAATTCTCCCTTTGTCTTCCTTTTGTGGTTCGGTTACGAGACTGGCTGCCCTTTGCTTCGGTAATAATCGGCGTGACTCACAGCACACTGTTTAATGTAGGTGAGAAAACCAAAGCACCTGACGTCGTAAAGTCTTGCGAGGTGACGAAAACAAACCAAAATGTTCCAGTCGGGAGAACAGGAAGCGAGTGAGCCTTTTGTGTCTAAATCTGTCCAAATATTAAAAACAAAAAGTGAGTCACGAAATGAAGCCACTACAACGAGAGCTGGTTTTTCTGAAGCTGATATTTTAAAACCCATCATCATCGTTGCAATCACCACATTCAGAGTAATCACATCATCAGAGCATGTGGCGGCGAGCAGAATTAATCACAAACCTGATTTTCTCACTTAAAATGAAGAATGAAGCTTTTGATTAAGGATTCCTTTTTTTTTTTTTTCCATATTTCCCCTCAGTGTGTTTGATGTGTTGATTAGTGCCTGCAGAGAGCCTCAGAGGAGGAAGGAACCTGGATTCTCATGAAACAAAGGTGTTGCTGGACGGGGAGGAAGAAGTCAGTGAGTTTCAGATGACAAGTGAGGTTTTTCCCTCAAACAAAGAGAGACGAAGGACCGTGTGTGTGTGCTGGAAAGAGACGGGGAGATCAAGTGCGCTCTTATCCTTAAATCCTCTGAAGATTTCTGCGAGAACCAGGAACAAATGGGTACTTATGCTGAAGGACTGCCGCTGATGGATGTTCCCGCCGCTGAGGGCCGTCTTCTAAGTATGCTGCACATGATGCTGCATCAATCACGGCTCAGGCAGGGAACAAAACCCGGACGCTGATCCTCAGATCGCAATAAGTCTTGCGGTAATGAGGCCGGACATTCTTTAAATTGCTGTCGCAGTATTTGTGCGTAAAGATGGCGGCCTGCTGATGACGGCGTAACATTCCATCTGAGCTAATTTAAGCTGGATTTACGGGAAACTTAACAGCTTTTCACGTTTAAGAAAACACAGCTGTTGAGATGAAAGCGTGATTTGCAGTAGAGTGGTGACAAAATGACCTCCTGTGTCTCTTCCTCAACACTTTTATTTGACCTCGATCGAACACGTCAAGGAAGGATGTGAAGGAGGATTGATGAGGACACGAGGGAACACGGCCTCAGAGGCTCCGACTGACTCCAACTAGGCTGCTTAATAACGTGCATGTTGTTGAGGTGGATCTGAGGTGGATGGTGCACAGCTTGGAGTAGCATTAGTTCTTTTAGTGAAGGTGGGACCAATGTGTCCTGTGCTGAAGGAGATAAGGAAAGGAAACAGGGAAGAAAGCACCTCTCCTTAACAGTTAGAACTCCTGCAGCTTTTATCAAGGCCGGGTCATTCCACTTCATCCATCCATCATCTCTACACCTTCATCCTCACCAGGGTCATGGGGGGCGGAGCCTATCCCAGCTGACTCAGGGTGAAGGCAGGTTCACCTGGACAGGTAACCAGTCTATCACAGGGCTACACTTAGAGACAGACAACCAAGCACACTCACATTCACACCTACGGACAATTTACAATCACCAATTAACCTCAGCATGTTTCTGGACTGTGGGAGGAAGCCGGAGAACCCGGAGAGAACCCACGCTGCACGGGGAGAACATGGAGACTCCACGCAGGAAGATCCCGGGTGTCCTCACCGGGACGCCAACCGGCGACCTTCTAGCTGTGAGGCCACGGTGCTAACCACTGATCCACCTGCAGCCACATGTATATATCAGTGTACAAAACTTCAGAACTGTAGCTCCATTATTTCTCACGTTGTGGCGCTTCCACAGATTGGCGTGAAGAAAACGAATCGACGTAACCAGATCCTCTCTGTAAGAAGCTTTAACTCAAAAACTAGTGTCGCCTCATAATCTGTCAAACTGAAGATGGTTGGGAGGAGGACGTGAATGGAGGCAGAATGAGCCGACTGCACCTTAAACACCTCTGCTGTCACTTCAAACCTTCTGCAGCTAAAAAGACTGTTTGATTACAACCTGTGTGTCGGTTCTGGCCACAGACCAATCAGTGCCACACGAGCTGATGGCTTTACTTAGCGGCTAATTACAGCAGCAACACCTCCGGACATCAGCGACTGAACTCACAGGGTGTGTTGGAAATCTGTCGGCCTTTGCTACCAAGTGCACGACATCAGCTCTCCTGAGTCAGAACTCTGTGTGTCGGTGGCGTCTGGTGAACTCGTGTGAGGTAGAAAGTCGCTGCATTGCATTCAGTTTGATTTATATAAGTCATCTCAGGCCCAGACCTTACAGTATTATACCGCAGATATATTATATAAGAGAGAAACCCAACCAATCCAGACGCCTGACATTGAGCAGGCGCTTTGGCAGCAGTGGACAGACCCTCTGAAGCCCAGACAGGGCGTTTTATCTTCAAAAGAAATTCCAAAAGGACCATTTATCAGCTGGAAGACGCAACACAGCACACAGCTAGTTAACCGGTTAGCTCTGAACGTAGCTTCGCTCTGAAGATGTTTGTAGTGATGTTGGGTCTTATTTGGTACCAAGCAGCAACAGAACTCTGAAGTCCAAAGACAGAACTGTAAATGCAAGAAATGAAAAAAGAAATGTTTGGGTCACATGAGGTCAGTCCTGCAGAACCACCTGATGCTGTATGGCCCAAACTAAATGCTTCGCTGATGGATGTCATGCAATAAATGTGATGCTTTTAGCACATTTATGGATGTTATATATGTTGTATTTTATGAAACTTTTATTTTGGTGGTTTACTCTGAGTCCTTCCTCCATCACCAGTGACTTTTATTTCTCATTTTACAGCAACGTGTTAATTTCCAACAGCTACAGAAAGCGGCAGCAGCTTCCTTCAGACTCCATCCGTCTTCGGCCCCGATTCTAAATTACGCAGGTGAAGAATGTGAACGTCTCATCATTTAAACCGCGATAAATCAAGTTAAACCAGCGTATCCCGTCTGAGCCGCTGGCACGCTGCCGGAGCCTCGTGGGAGCTATAAATGGTCTCATGAAGCTACTTCCAAAGACCGTCGATCTCTCTCGGGCCGAATCTAAAGAGACACGTGAGCGGCTCTGTATTAATAGACGACACGCGCAGGTACCGTTAATGAGGACGCGCCGGAGAAATAAGTCTTGGAGGAGCGTTGGCTAAAACGAGGACGCTAATTAGCTCCTGTTCTGGTGTATTCTAACCTGTACTGGTCTGAGTGAAGCGATTACGCAGAACGAACAGAGAAAACACAAAGACGACTTGATTTCAGAAGAAGAAGAAGAAATAATGATGCAGTTAATCAGTCTATTGTAATTATCTGTGTAGCTGTTGTGTAGCTGTAGACATAAGATGCATAAAGGAGTTGTCGAAATAATTAAAAACTAATGATCATAATTAAAAAGTAATATTTAGGAGCTGGAACTGGAACAAATTGCAAAGATGAAATGAGCCGCTTAACTTCTTCTGTTTTACATTTTTCTGTTGGGGACAAAAATACTCGCATGAATTAATGAGAGCTGGATTCAGTCTGTGTTGTTCACAGGATTTAAGTCCAGTTTCATGGAGAGGTCAGACTGCAGCACCTCGGCCGTAGTTTACATCCCAGAAACACGAATAATAAAAACGTTACAGTCAGAGTCAGTCAGTCTGTGATGTTTCATCTGCATCCCATGACCGGTGTCGTGTTGTGTAACATGCATGTGACGTGCATGTGCACGTGTGAACCGACCTCATCTCCAAGTCGTGGCTCTCCTGGGCGGCGAAGCTGTACAAGGCCACGTAGGTGTTGAGCTTCAGGACGTCTTTCTGCAGCTGGCTCTGCTCCAACTAGACGACAAACACACACCAAACACACAAAGTCCAGGATTACACTCTCCATTGTCTCCTTTCTCAGTCGCGTCCTAAAATAGTATTTCTGGCGTTCACGGTAGCAGGAGAAGCCCTTGTTTACGGCACGTCGATAGACCGAGGAGCTGCTGAAGTTGTCTTGCAATCTGTTCTCTTTAATCCTCCGTCAACATGAGTGGGAGAAGCAGGATGAGGTTTTCATGAAGTTGGGACAGCACAGGGCCGTGGGTGGAGAGGAAGTTCTCAGAGAAGTGTTAGCACAATTAGCGGGGAGACGTGCCGCCATTCTGGCGCTATTCGCACCTGCTCAGACGACTGGTGGGTGCGTTTTCCTGTTCCATCACCCAATACCTTGAGTCTGAATCCTGCACGCTGTGTCCCTGAAACCCATCCAGACGGTACCGTGTCCCCTGCCTGCATGGCAACAGGAGGGAAACTGCTGAGAGACTTTTTACGACACTATTGGCTGTTTTGGTGCAAAAGTAGAGTTTCCATCTTTGTGGCGCTGTGTAGTAATGAAGAGTAGTGTTTCTGGTCCTCTGTGGCTCCCCGAGCGTCACCATGTGGACTGGAAATGTGGCTGATGGATGAGTCCAGTTAACGGCGGCCACGAGGCAAACTGCCTCTGTGGCCTCCGGGCGAGAACAACAGCACCGAGCGGCGGCGATCCATTACAGCTAAGTACGAGCTGCTCGCTCGCCTTGAGAGGCTGCTGATGGCGCGGCGGCCCGGAACAGGAGAGGAGAGGTCGGGTCGGCCACGACAACAGCCTCCTTTGTTACTGAGTTCTCCAAAAAGAAGAAAGGATTCAAAGTGAAGGACAACGTGGTGACGGGAAGAGCAGCGTGTGTTCCTGTAACCCTCCAGTGAGAGATGTTCAGTCACCTGAAGGCAGCACGATGGCCTCTGGACAGGCTGCTGGAGTTCACATGTTGATAAACTGTTGAGAACGGATTCATCCAGCAGCTACGGAGCCACATTATCATCAACTCACTGACAACTATTTATCCTGCACTTCAAAAAGAAAAAGCAGCACAACCAGAGCTAGAAGTGGTCAAACGTCTTTTGATTGATATAAACAGTTAGAATGAAATAAATCATTTTTTAAAAAGGAAGAAAGAATGTTTTTGATTATTATACAAAAGAGAAACGGGATCAACACGTACAACATTTTCCTAAGAGCCCAGAGATGAACAGACTTACTAACATATTTTACTACGAACATCTTTAGTACCAATAATTACTTCAATAATAATTCATATTTATTATTTACAAGGACTGTGTCCCAATCCAGTCCAATTTTCAGAGACAATACAGAGTTAAAGTACACTAAGAATAAGAAAGTGCATCCTGTAGGATCTGTCTAGAACGTAGAGTCCACAGAGTACAGGCTTAAAAATCAATATGTGAAAACCTGCATTGTTTTGTCAGACTGTGGATTAACTGTATGCGGTGGTTTAGCTCCCAATGGGCACCAAGACAAAGACTTCCTGAGCTTGTGTTTTCAGAACCAGTTTCCAGGAGGACAGATCTACCCTATCAGGTGTCCGATGACTTAAACATCATCAGAACAGAGCAAACGTCCACTTTGCTCATTTGCGATGACGCTGTAAATTACAAATGGCATCCTTAGCATGCTGCCACAAATCTGGCTCTCAGTGGATGACACCTGTGAGACAGTCGACGTAAGAAAAGAGTCTGTGCTCAATAAAGCCAGAACCAATCAGTTTAAAACACCTTAACTGGCCTCCCAGGTTTCCATACTTCTCTCCTGTCAGCTCTGTGTAAACACATCCGACAGCCAGTGATTTAAACAATACATAAAGTAAAAACCCAGTCAATACAATATGTGTGAGTTCAAAATTCACTCTGCTTTTAGCTCTGCTTTGGTCTCCACACCGTGCCATGTGGTGCCGGGGAGGCAATAACACAAAACAACGAGCTGAAACAGTTCATAGATTCAGAGGGAACTGCAGAACCAGTTGATGTTTACACAGTAAGAAATATCTTCATTTAATCCGACGTTGATATAAAAATATTTACTGGTGCAGCCTTAAGAGATCATTTCCCTTCTTTTTATTTCCTCCTCTAGAAAATGATTCTGAAAGTAAAGCATCCACGTGTCCGTCCGCAGCAGCAAGAAAAGTTTGTTTGGAATAAACAGAAGCCGTCGCAGATGAAGGGAAAAGTGAAAAGAGCGCCATCTCATAAAACCCGACTCTCCAAACAGAGAACCGGAGCAGAAAGACATCACAGCCTGCACCACACTATTTTACTGTCAATTGATCTCAGAGAGTTCGACACTAAACCTGAACAGAGTGAACAGATGGCCGTCCTCAGTGTGTGTGTGTGTGTGTGTGTGTGTGTGTGTGTGTGTGTGTGTGTGTGTGAGTCTCTCATCTCAATTTGGAGCCTCCTTCTCTGGTGAAGAAGCAGTTTTCGAGCGTTTTTCTCTGCTCATTACCCTGCAGAGCCTCCATCTGTCCGTCCGCCGGCCCGAGCTAATGGACCTGTCGGGTGACAGACAAACAGCCCGCTGCCAGCTGCGCTCGGTCCAGCCCGACAGCACCACACGACACACTCCGAGCCTGGACCGGACCGCTAGACTGAATTACAGAGGAGACGTGTGTGTGTGTGTGTGTGTGTTCACCTTGTATGGCTATTTGCTCATTTTTGTGTTCGTCCAAGTATCTGTGGTCTTTTTCCACTGTTGACAACGGAGATAAACACGTTAAACTACAAAAGTAAACAGGATAGATGGCCGCGCATAGAAAATATGTCGAGAGAGCGGCGGTACCGAACGCAGCGCTCCCACAGAACCCGCCGTGGAGGGCGAAGACGGAGCAGGGAGAAGAACAGTTCTGAAATCTGCCCATGAAATATTCATGGCTGCTCTGCGGGGGGCGCCGAGATGTTCACAGAGGTTTAACCTTTTTCTTTCTCTGGCTTGAATTCTGCACCATCAGCTCTGCATCCCCGCTGCAGAGAGTAAACACAGCAGCACCGGGCCCAGAGCCGCAGACCCCAACGTTAAGGTCAAGGCTCCTCCGTATCAGCACAGGCCAGCGGTCGCGTCAGCTCCCGCCTGATTTGTTACAGCGGGGAGAGAAAAAGAGAGTTTTCCCCCAACGTCCTGGGAAATTCAGCGGCGATGGGGACAGAATGCTAAATGGACACAGAGCGGGCTGCTGGCTGGAAGTCAGTTCTCAGACTGACCAGGCAGAGTTCAGCCACTGGTCAGCGAACACAGTCGGTTCTCAGAGGTTCTCGGACCGTGCAAACAGCTTCTGTCACAGCAGAACGACTGACGCTGTAGAAACTGAGGGGAAAGGACTGAAACTGTGAAGCTGATGCCAGAACAGCTGACTGCTGATAACAGCCTCTAAACCAGCACCTGCCTGTAGAATGAACACCTTGTTGCTCTGCTTCAGCCCAAAACATGTCGGTGGGTCTGAAAGGCAGCCGTCTTTAAATAAGAATTAGAAAGTTGAAAGAATCATATTTTCCACTTGTTGAACATCATTTTTAACTTCCTTTTTCAACCACATCTAAGCCTGAAATCACGTTGTTTCATCTAAATTGTTTAATTCTATTCCTCTCATTTGAACATTTTCCAAATTAAATCCCTTGTTCTGATCAGATTCTGTAGAGATGTGCAGGACTTTGTCTTGTAGTGGAAAAATCAGCCCACAATGAGTCATAATGTGACAAACAACACCCGGAAACTGCAGTTTAAAGGAGTTTAAAAGCTTTTTCCGTTCCTAGAAGTGTAAGGAAATTGTCTCTGCAGGTGTAAAACCTCCACCTCTGAAGCTGTGTTTTAACCTAAATTGAAGGCTCACGTGGTTTCTGAAGGACAAAAGAATCGTGCGACCTTTTACGAGCGTTGAGAACAACTAATAAGTGGCTGTAAAAAACAAAAAGGACACTTTGAATATTAAATGTTTTCATCAAACAACAGCCATTGACATGTGATTTCTGTCTTTTGCCTTAAAAACCTATTAAAGTAATTCTGGGCACAAAAAAATAAAGAATTCAAGCACTTTCCTGCAGATAGAAGCAGCCTGAACATGAAGGCCCGTGTGCAGAGTGTTGTGAGGACGGCCGTGTTCAGGCTAACAGCACACTCACGGCCACACACCTGCCAGCATTACATATGCATTATGTAAAATAATTTGATGGATTCGTTGCTCACCGGCAAATCGTCAGGTTTTCTCTCCGGCTGGTGGTAAAGCTCCGTCCCGTTCTCCATGACTGTAAAGACTGAAAAAAAACAAAAAATCAGAACGGCAGATAAACATGATGAACAGTTTAAACTCTTTAAGGTCCTGGTGGCAAAAGTTATACGAGATAAAAATGGTGGAATTCATCCGAAACTAAAGGAAATAAAAAGGGACACTCGGGCTACGTTCACACTGCAGGACTTGATGCTCAATGAGGATTTCTTTGTGACTTCCTTCACGTTTCCACTTCAATGCGACTTGTATGTGATCTGCTGTGTGAACTTCATACGACCCAAAAGTGTCCCGCATGCGCAGAAGAGGACACGACGACGTCACACGCAGCGAGCGTGCTCAGTGTTTATGGAAGTAAACATGGATGGTAACGGTGGAGCGTATCTGCCACTCCCCCGCCGCCACCGATGGAGGAAACAGAAGTGTGAGCGCTAACTAAACTAGCATCAGCAGCCAAGTACTGCCTGTGTGTTCTGGACACTTCCACCCCGTCAGAGCGCTGCCCCGGGGTGGAACATTTGGATATTCGTCACTAATTGGGCCCAAACATCCAGAGAGCAGACAGTGGTTCTCGGACCAGCCCTAGTCTGTCGTGTATCAGTGTAGGTCGGATAAACGCGACCTGGCTGTTCAGACAAAAGCCTCGTGGCCAAAGATCAGACACCTGTCAGGTTTAGGACCACATATCCAAGCGGCCCATTTGAAATGGGCTCTGTGTTGTTCAGACAGTCATGAACAGACCAGATACAGGTCGCATAGGGGCAGAACAACATCGGATTTGGGTCACTCCAGCTGCTGTCTGAACGCAGCCTTTGATCATCGATGCAATTTTTTGTTTGGAGCTTTGGCCTGAAGGTGGCACTAAACCAACGATGTCATCGACATCATGAGGGCTCATATTCATAAATATCCAAAGCAGGTCCATTCAGCACAGCTGTCTTTTTTCTGTTAACCCGACCACCATCGAGAACTAAAGCGCCATCAAGGCCACCAGGCAGAGGCCAAAAACACATTCATGCTGCCTTTTGTTACTGAGCTGCTATTCTCTGCAGGAAATAGCTTAGCATTGAAGCCGTGCTTCAGAGTACTGCGGGCTACCAATCAACCAGTCTCCTTGTAATTCTGTCTTCACTGCTCCGAGTGAAAGCCTCAGAGTGGGACGGGTCAGCGCCGTGCCCTTTTCTACAAAGACTATTGTGCAGCTGAAAACTCCCAAGCCGCCACTTAATCAGACACAATGCAGGTAAAGGACAGAAAAAAGAGAGGTCCAAATGTTTCCCCTGAATGTCTGATGGTCTGGTCTATAGAGGAGTCCGACAGCAGACAGAGCGAGTTCAGCTCGGTGGGAAGAACCTTCTCGATGTTGCAACCGCCTCAGACTCTCTTGTGGGAAGAGTCGTGGTTTTTCCCGTGTCGCTGCGTGGCTCTGATCCAGATGTACACAGTGTGCTGCGGCGGATACTCACCGTCATCACTGTGCTTTCTGGACAACTCCTGCCTGCTGCTGTGAGCCACGACTTCCTCTGGAACCTTGTCCAAGTCGCTGGTCTGCAGAGAGCAGACACAAAGAGTCAGATATGTAGAATAAGAGACGGACTGGTTTGATTTCTGAGCACCAAACTCTCTGTGCTTTCACAGAGGAACCAGCTATCTGGAGTGTAGTAAACAGTCTGCATTTGGAAACCATTATCAGAACCCCTGTTGAGACTACATTGTCTTTGTAAGCCTCCGCTGACACACACACCCATCCAGCTGCACAGGACAGGACGGCGTGGCCCCGACCCAACAGCTTTCAGATGTCATCACACGGAGGCATGCGTCCAGAGCGCACACGCCGCTCGGCTTACATTACCGGCGATACGCTATGAGAAACAGATTGGGTCGTACGCACGCAGACGGAGAGGACGGCGGCTCGACAATCAGTCTAATCCATCTTCGGTACTGTAACACGAGCATCTCCCATCATGAGGCCCAGACTGCCTTTATTGGTAGTGTTTACAGGCCTGCGGCGGCCGTATCTATTTAGACCATCAGTGTGTCTTCTTCCACAAGTGGGGCAAAAATATAAAGTACCAGAACTAAAGTCTTTATTTGTCTGCATGACGTTTAACAGAGAGAAGGCTTGAGATAACAGATAGGGACAAATAAAGCTGAAGATATAACGAGTGTGTGGATTTAAAAACAGCACCAACGGGTATCCGGGTCTTACCGAGTTTCTGTGCGGAGACTCGGAGCCGCTGGCCCTCTTGGCCTTTTGCGCCAGCGACGTCCCAAACCTCAGGGCTTCGTACACGGGGTCCACCTTATTACCGCAGGCTTCAGACAAGAACAAGAGCAGCCGTTACACAAGAGACAAAGAAACCTGAGACTTCATCACAACACAGCGACGATTTACAAAAACTACAAAACCTGGTGCATAAACCGGCTCAAGTGGAAAAGTGGTTGAGGGGGGATGGAGTTAAGGTTTCACTTCTCATCCCACACACAGCTGAAATGATTATGGAGATGTGAGCCCGCTCACCGATGGGCATGACTTCTTTGATGCAGCCGTACTGCTCCTGGATCAGTAACGGGGAGCTGTAGTATCGCCGGAAGCCTTTTGGCTGCAGAGAGCGGGACAGACGGGGGGGAAGAGAGAGAGGCGACAGACATTAGAGACGAATCGATGTGCAGCACCGCAGGCGGCACCGAAACGCTGCACAGCACTCTGCTCAGTCAGATGGTTCTGGACGCATCGGACTTCGTAGAATTAAAGTTCTGCAACGCTGGATGTTGGGATGTTTTGACAGAAGACAAATTCAATCTGTCCCAGGCAGAAAACACACCATACGTGTGTGTGTGTGAGTGTGTGTGTGTGTGTGTGTGTGTGTGTGTGTGTGAAGGTACACAACCAAACACTGGTATAAAAGACATTCATCTCCACTGTTTAATCTAACTGATAATCATAGAATTGCCAAATAATTTAATTTATTAATGCAAAACAAATCATTCATTTAATTCTCACATATCTACAAATCCAATATTTAATTTATTTTTATCAGACAAGCTATTAGTTAACAAAGACTATTTAAAAAACTAATGACTTGGTGCATCTTTAATCTGTTGTCAGTGAGTTCTAACAGATAGAACGACCACTCCAACATAATACAAGTTCGTACTTATTTTGTGAATAAATCATTTATGAATGACAAAAAATGGTGCATTGCAGTAACGTGCATTCTGATAATACATAAAAACAGGTGGATATGAACGTTATATGAACATTTGAATATTCTGGCAGTAATTTAAATGCAAAACATGTTATTCTGGTGACACATGAACTGAACTCGTGCTTTTCTGGTCTAAATCCATCCGTCATCTCTACACCTTCATCCTCACCAGGGTCATGGGGGCGGAGCCTATCCCAGCTGACTCAGGGTGAAGGCAGGTTCACCTGGACAGGTAACCAGTCTATCACAGGGCTACACTTAGAGACAGACAACCAAGCACACTCACATTCACACCTACGGACAATTTACAATCACCAATTAACCTCAACAATCGACGACCGAAAAACTCAGTCACAGAACACCAAACCACCTCGTGCTCCGTATGCTGGATGGATGGATGGATGGATGGATGGATGGATGGATGTGAATCATGCCGATAGAGACGCTGATCCTCTGGTTCATGCTAGTATTTGTCTCAACAATTAGAGTTATATATTCCAAAAACAACACTTGATCTTTCCCTTTGTGTTTGCCATGAAGTGCAGCCTCTCTGAGCATCACGACGTGAGCGAAAGAACAAATAAAAACCACAAAGCAACTACTAAGAAAGAAAGAAATGGTTCAGCTCAGGACAGAAGAAAGAAAAACGCTGACAAAGATTCACCACGCAGCACACTGACGAACAAGTGGCCTCGAAAAGTCGAGGACGTCAAATAAACGCTGAGACTGACACATAAAAAACCCAGAGCGTAAGAGAGACGGATGAAGGGCAGAGCAGCCTCTGAAGGGCTGTTTACAGGATGACGTCAGGCTCAGCATTAGTTCCACTCAATTTTACTTTCAGCACATTATTACTTTTAAAAAGACTCATTACATTTTCAAATTGTGCACAACGTTTAGAAATGAACACCTGATTTATTCCGTACGCGGCTGAAATCCCAACAAGCAGGACCAGAGGACGGGATTGAAGCCGTCGCTGCCTGATGGAAAAACTTTGAATCCTAAAGTTTCTGTCCTAATCCGTGGGTGTGCCGTGTCCTCCTCCGACCTCCCGCTGCACTCACACATCCATCATTTATATATCTATTACCTGCCTCCGTCCCAACCAAATCAATACTTCCCCATCGGTTCGGAGTCTTTCCAGAGTACACAGAAACACAGAAGATTGAAATGATCCTCAGCCTCTGGAGACATGATGTCATCTGCAGCACATTCATTAATGATTAATGTGGGTATTTACGGGGTTTTTGTCGTTTTCTCTAAACATCCGTACACTATCGAGGCGTTCGCTGACAACATGCTGCATCTGATTACAGGACGGCCGCTTGCTCACCACATGCTGGACGCCTGCTGTACTTCACAAGGACGACTTTGTTCACTTTGTTTGGTTGGTGCTTAAATCTGCATTAACTCTTCATGAAGGAACGACTCAAACAAGCAACACTCGAGCTCTTCGGGTCCATCTCGAGATGTGAGATGTCGGCTGTGCAGGAGCAAACTCATTAGAAAAAGGTTAAAGGATCCCGTCTGGTTCAGGTGGGTCCGAACAACAGGCGCCGCTCGCTGCTGCTGCTGCGGCACCGACGGCGTGACGGCTTTCTCGGGGTTCTTTAATCACAAATATGATCTTGTAGTTTTAAAACGGATTCCTGCAGGAAGTTTCATCTCCCAGAAGTTATGTTCCCGCACTAATCCGTGTACATGTGAAGAGTTCATTTGCAAAAACAGAAAACTTCACAGACTGCTGGCAATGAGCCCCGTTAACGAAGAAAAACATCCACACAAACTAAACTGTGTTTTCTTTGTTTTTCTTTATACAGAAAATGATCCAGTGCCGCCCTGCTCACGACCTAATTAATGATATCCATTAATTTATACACTCCCATTCATCCGTCACGGCCGTAGGCGTCAATTTGTTTGCTTACCTGGGAATTCACCGACTTAATCACTGTTGTACATAATTAACACGTGCTTCACCTCCAGCACAAACCCGTCCTGAAAACGTTTTCCTGGTACCAGTTTTAGGAGGTCGTGAGATAATTTCACAGATAAGCAGGAACTTGTCTGAAGCTGGGAGGACTTCCTGTGACGGTGCATATGGTCTGACAAAAGTCTTCTGGCTGTTGGCACAAAAACATGGAGCAAACATCTGGGCCAAGCTGCAAACATGAGCGACCCGAAGGAGTGTGTTCAGTGCAGGACACCTGTTATTATCACCAAAAGTTGACGAGTGAATCACTGTACCTGCCGCGAGCAGCGTTCTGAATCAGCCGAACCACTTTTCACTTGCAGCAGATCTTAATATGCGAAGCGTGCGGCGATGTTGTTGTTGTCGTGTTAGCTCGGGTTCACGCCGTGACTCACAGATTAACTGTCACATATTGATTATTAGTCGTGTTTGATCCAAACTGGCGAGTCTCCTGGAAACAGCTGCGCTCGAGTTGTCGAGACCGAATCCAAACAACAAGCGTCAGCAAACGCAGAATCAGCTCCACCGTCCTACCGAGTGACGTACCGGAGCTGCAAAAAGCAAATAACTCCTGTTGTCCTAAAGTTAAAAAAAGCAAAGTTGAATGTGTTCTAGGTGAAGCTAAAGTAGGAAATCAAGAAGTCGCTATCACTGCATCAAGAGGTTCAGAAACGGACCGAACAAAATGATTTCATGTTCAATAAAGAGTCAGCGGATGAGGTAACGTGCTTTCTTTGTGAAGGGTTCTCAGGCCAAGAGCAACAAGCATGGCTGCAGAAGTGTCCAAGTTTAGAGTTAGTTGAATTTAGAGCCGTGCTCCGCTGGGGAAACTTCCCTTTTTATGCTCGACCTCTCAACCTCATTTTCCACTCCTGAGAGCTGATCATATCTCCAGGCCTCATCCCTCCGGCATCCAGTGGAAAGACGTCACAACGGGGACGGAGGAAGAGGACGGCCTGTGCTGCTCCGCCGCCTTTTCATGTGTCTCTGTTCAGTTCAACTCGTTCCTTCACGAGCCACGTTTCCTCAATGAAGGTGCAGTCGAACACAAGGTAGGAGAGGCAGAGAGCTACACAAACCGTGACCTCCAGTCCGGCTCTCCTCAGCGAATGACTAAGGAGTCCCAGGTCGGCCTCGTCTGCCAGTTTGCTGGACGGCGGTACAAGTGAAAGCGCTTCCTGGCAGCTGTTTTTATTGTTATGGCCAAACCCTCCCCAGTAAAACCTCCCGGACCACCCTGGCAGACCCACTCCCCAACCAGAGGGTGTCATTTTGATGCAGTCCACAGACGATGATAAAGATTTTGAATCATGCCGACGCTCCCCGGCTCGGCCGTTATCGCACAACAACGAGGACAAACCCACCAGAAAGTGTGTCTGAGGGAGGAACACACATTTCCAGGGCAACAGGACATGAACAGCGACGATAACCAGAGTTGTGGTTTCTGAGCTCCTGCTAAGCTGCAACGTAAACACGAAACTACTGACGAATAAGGTCGCTGATATCAGAGAAACTCTCCTACACTGTAAAATAATGTGTATTTTAGTAGGACTTTTTAAAATACACAGTAATCAACAGAACTATTCAAATAGACTGTGAGTTTAAATATAATATAAAATTAAAAATGTGTCACTGAATGACCATAAAATGTCCACGTTTTAAACACAACAAAAGTTTTTGACATAAGATTGTGAAATTTAGCATAACTTCCCAAATATTAGACGTAAATATATAAATATATAACATTTTTATTTAATAGATGAAACTATTACATTTATATTTTGTTGCTGTAAATATATTTTGAATATTAGAGAAAATTTGCGCCAATTAATAGAAAAAGAAACATTAGTTCTTTTTGTTTTATAGGTAGTTTAACTGTTTTAACGTGTAAATATCCTTCATTAAACAACAAAAAGCCCCCCAAAAAAAAAAAAAAAACTATGCATGAACTCGTGCAAAATTAAGCCAGAAAATGTGTTTTAATTACAGAAAATTATCGTGTTTTCATGAAATGTTAACCGTCTGTCATTTTAAAGGTTTTTTGGCCCCAGCTGCCAGAATATTCCTGTTTTTTAGGTTTTTTTTTAGTCTTCTAAATCAAGCAGGAGCTCTAAGCTGAACTTTCTGCCTCCTTTTAGAGCTCATTAGGAGACAAAGTGCTTCTATGAAACTAATATTAAAGCACTGAAGAGACACGAGAGGTGCTTTTTAAATACTTCAGATTATTGTACAAAACTGCAAAAAAACCCAATGATATCTTTTTTTAAATTGCCATGAAAACCTACCAGCTTTTTAAAAAAACTAAAAACAAACAGGCAGGTTTAAGGCTGACTGAATACAAGCCTGGTTCTTTAAACTGAACCTTTAATGATGAAGAATGCTTCAAACACACTGAAAAGGCAGAAGGCACCTTCCTGAAGGTAAATAAAGACGGATGAGATCTAATGAGAATGACCATACACATTTACAGTCTTTTGTCTTTTGCACTCTGCTGAGAACATTTGATTTGATAAAGAGATTTAAACTCCGTCGCTCCACTGGGCGGCCTTCAGAAGACGAGGCTGGTTCGGGGTCACAGTAACATGTGTTCAGTGTAATTATCACCAATCAATACTGCAAACCTTCCCATTGTTGTACACCTGAAACCTTTCACAATCCCACTGATATAAAAGCTGCAACTAATTTATTCACGATGCGATAATTGATCTGCTCCTCGTAGCTCCATAAAAGACCAGGAACTGACTTCCAAGTTTAAAAAGAGACATCGAGGCTGAGACGGTAAATGTCAAACACGTCATAAAACTGCCATATGTGGCTCCTTTAATAGCGCTTGTAAAGGTGCTCGAGGCTAATCGCATGTATCCTGATTTAACGGTTTATGCTGATGGCAGCACAGCAGAGTTTGAGGGAGGCGAGGAGGAGGGCTAGAGCTGCATTACTATTATCTAACACAGACAGAGTGCTGATAGGTCGATGATGAGGACGATGACGAGGATGGATGGTGGCCACAGATGTACCAACACACTCACACATAGAGTGTGATTTCTGAATAAGCACATTCTGGTGGGAAACGGTCCGACAGCCAGCTCTCTCTGTTTTGGTTGCTATCATGATGACATCAGTAATTATATTCCTGAGTCTCCCAAACTGTTAACAGCAAAGTGAAGAACCTCCTGTCTAAGCCATGGCCTGTGTGCCGTGCAGCTCACCAGTTTGCCCATGCAGCGCTGCTGCCCCACGCCGTTCTCACACTTGTGGTGGAGGCTCATCTTGCAGGCTTTGCAGCGGAGGCCGTGCTTGGCGGTGTTTCCTGCCAGGAACACCACGTGTTTGGCTGTCGTACCTGATACACACACAGAGAAAGAGGTAACAGGTTCACGTCTGTCATGTCAGGAATTGGACTCCGATGATGTTCGTAAGTGAGCAGCACATCACACACAGAGACGCAAGTGGAAAATATTGTTCAGATCACAGCGCAGTCATTTATTCATTGTCTTAACGCACTTATTCCTCGCCAGCGTTTCTGGAAGTCGTCCCAGCATGCGCTGGGAAAAACCTGTGAAATGACATGTGGAACATTTTAACAGGGACACAATTTACCGAATCTAAGTCATGATGTGGACTTCTGCGAAAGCCTTCTAAGCGGACCGGCTGTAAGCGGGCCAGTCCGGCCTCCAGCATGTGAAACCATCTCAGACTGCTGCCCGTGTGCAGCTCTCACTTATTAATATGTGACTCACAGTTGCTGAAATAAATGAAGATTAGTCGGACTTATTTGTGAGCCAAAGTTATGCAACATTGCGAGCGCTGTCATTTAGAACGTGTGTGTGTGTGTGTGTGTGTGTGAACAGGAAGCAGACAGAGAGAAAGATAAATGAGAAACAAAAAGGAGAAGGATAGCCTTTTTCAGAACGGAGTCGTGAGACTGTAAAGGTGTCGGAGAATAAAGTTCACAACAACTGATCGAATCGCTGCAGCTCAAGTCTTAATAAAAAACCAGTGAGCTGGGACGGAGACAACGGAGGTAAGAGATGAGCGAGCAGGGGTGTGGAAATGTGCAGGAGGTGGAAAAGAAAACTAGAAAGTGAGATCAAGAATCTCACTTTCTAGTTTTGGTTCCATTTTGTTTTTCAGAGGTCCTGTTCAGACCTCCAGAGCACGACAGCGCCGCTCAGGGCAGAGAAAACGTTCTGAAAACTGGCTGAGAAAACGTTCATATATCGTTTCATAAGCTCCAATATTCACCCAAAGGTTCCCCCAAAGGACGAGGTTATCGGCTGAGATCGGGTATTCTTAACGGGAGCCGAAGCCTCTCCGCAGATTCTACATATTCTGCAATAACATGAATAACAGTTTACATAATGGCTAGAAGTGCTGACGGAGCATCACTTCAGCAGCTAACGGCCAGCTGTTATTTACTTCTGTGCAGTCTGCTGGGAGGAGGCCAAATATCTGAAAATGTGAAAATTAGACTCTGTTGGTTTCAAGAGGAGAATTTGTCAAGTGATGAATGTGAAGACGAGACGAGCTCGGCCACAACATGGAGAGGAAGCAAAGTAAGATTGATCATCTCATTACAATGCGATGTTCTGCTGGGAGACGTCGGGTCCTGGCATCCGTGTGGATGTCACTTTGACGCTTACCGCCCACCTGAACATTCTGCACTCCCCGGTGCCAGCGGCCTCCCCCGGTGGCTGCAGAAAAAAAAAAAAACGCTCGGGAGCAGCTCGAACCACAAGAGCCCAGAGCGCTGGATCGCCATCTGAACCCCCCAGAACTCCATCTGACCCGCGGACGCCCGCCCTGCAACCCACAGCAGCCAGCATCAAAGTGCCAGACACAACCCCCCCAGGTCCTGATTCATGACCCGGCGGGTCAGAGCTGTTCTGGCGGAGATTTACACAACATGAAGCACGTGGTTTTTAATGTAGCCGTCCACAGAACATACATGACGTCTGAGCCACCACGTGCTGCACACAGCATGGTAACAATCCCCCCGAAGCATCCGTCTGAAAGCCGCTTCGCATTAACGCCGAGCGAACATCGTCACCGAGGCCCAGTCGTGTTATTAGTTGTAGTCTAACAGCTCTGCACCTCCGGCTCTTCATGGATTAATCAATGGCCACGTGCCGGGCTCAGGCCCACGCTCTCCGTGTGCGTGTGAAAATACGAACACGCCAAAAAGCACAATCGATCCACCTCAGAGGGGCAACGAGAGGATCTGCCCCATGCATCACCCAAACACCGGATCGTGTGCGGTTTCTCTTGAAGCGGTCGGGATGTCAGTGCAGATTTGCTGAGCGGGCCGAGGAGGGCCGGCGAGCAGAGGTAATCCTGTACTGTAAATATGAAACCGAGCAGAACACCTGATCCCCGGACAGGACCGCAAACACAAGACAGTGTGTGTTTAAGCTACAAAGCCCCCTCGTGTGTGAGTTCACCGAGACGAGGGGAAAAACATACAAAATGTCTGCACGTGCTGTAATGCGACCCGGTGTCACGGCTATCTGGATCTGGGCGGCAGTGACAGGAACTCGAAACTCTCAGTAATGGCTGGAAAACTGGATCCGTATCGCCCCCCCTCCTCCCGGTTCAGGCTTTGTGTTGCTTGGCTGAGCGGCGCTGACACAGAGCTGGAGTTATACTGAGACGGAAACTGAGGGAAAGGTGATCCCGGCCCGAACTCCAGCCACAGATCACCACCAGCACCAGTCCAACCGATTTTTAGGTCAGTGTGAATGAGGCCATCTGATCTACGGCATCTTTAAGATTCGAGTTTCTGTCCGTCGGCGCTGATGAAGCTCTTGTGCTGCCGATCGGTTTGTGAGACTAATGAGACGCCTGTATGTTAACGAAGAAGAGGACAAATCAGTGCAGCAGCAGAGAAACCTTAAAGCTGCTCTTTCTCCTCCGAGGCCTAAACAGAACCGTGTGCGATGTGAGCGGCGCCGCTGCTCTCTGATATTTGCACTGTAGTAGAAGAAAAGCCTCCTGCCAGATTTCTGTCTTCCTCTTTTGTTTTTTTGCTCCGTCCACGTCTTCCCTTCTCCTTTCAATAGCCACACATTGATCCATTAAGCCACTTCATGCCTCCTGATTCCCGGTGCCAATAACTCCTCCACCTCCTCCTCTTCTGCCTCTTAAGCTCCTCCAGGACACTGATGGCTCTCTTTGTTTATTTCTAGCCTTTGGTTTGTTCTTCCTATGCAGCTGTTTCATTATTTACCACTAAAAAAACACCTCATGTGGTAAAACGTTTAACTCCAGACTACAGATGGAGAATTACTGTTTTTTTTAATGCCTTCATCTGTTATCGGGGATCTTCTCAGATCAGCTGCAGAGGCTACAGACGTCCCGTTAACTGTTTTTAAATTGGTGCAACGAGGGTCGAGCATTTCCTGTTAACGGGTTTGTTTACATGTTTATGTCAGGTACAAGTGTGTCTGAGGATCACCAACGTCTGGAGGATTCCTCTTCTGGGGAACATAAATGTCAGAGCTTCACGCCGTCCAGTAGCTGCTGAGATAGTCTGGACCAAAGCAGTGGAACCGGACTCGTCTTGAGTCAAAGCTCAGAATACATTTACACCATTCTGCCTCCAAATGTTTACTTACGTCAAACTTTTCATGACTTTTACCAGCTGACATTTTAAATTCCTTTTTTTTATCTAAACAGGTGTGAGAGACTTTTATTTTGAAACAGTGCCAGCCGTCACACCTCACACTAAAGTGGATAAAAGCAGTGGAAGCGTGAGGTTGTCACAACACACAGCGGTCGCATCCTGCGAGACAGAAAGACAGAAAACACACGTGTGTGGTGACGTATAGCGTGTCGCTGGGATTAGTAATAAAACACCGTGAAGCAGCACCGCTCAGGGCTTCAGGAGGAGGAGAGCATCACCAGGACCCCAGCAGCTCCGTCTCCTGTCTGACCTCCACCTCTGACCCACACGTTCATTTCCTACCGGCTGCAGCCAAACCTGTCGCATGTATTTAGGGAGTTTCATAGCAGATTTGTGGAAATAATCTGGTGAGATTACGCTCATAACTCGTCTTGTTAATCCCAGGAATTTAAGTCATTTAAGGGATTTTTACTGCAAGTTACTGACAGTAACATTACGCAATAGTAGCTTAAATTCAGCTGCATTTATGCCGCGTGCTACATGTCAAACTTCCAAGATGTTCGTTTCATATGTGTGACCTGAAAGCAACCCTACGCGGGAAAAATTACATTTCAGTCACAAAGAGGCCTGCAATCAAATGCTCAGCATCAGCTCGTCCTCAATCAGAGCGTTTCTGCGTGCCGCTGAAGCTAATTTACGAGCTGCGAGTCTCACAACAACGACAAAAGCGAAGCGCTGCACATACCGTGTAGGCTACGTAATGAAGGAGAGGAAGGAACAGAAGAAGAGACGTCTTGGACTGAACACAGGGACGTGGTTGAACACTGAATGCAGTTGTTGGTTATCAGTAAAACTAAATGTGTTCAAAGATAAAATACAGTTTTAATGGTTAAGCAGTAAATGATGCAAATACAGACAATCACTGTGTCGCAGTAAAACGCTTAACGTGGGAGTAAATGTCGTGCTGTTCAAGAGTTTATGAGTGTGTAATCCACATTAAACTACAAAGGAAATGAGCTAATGCCTCCCGCAAAAATAAAATCTACAGAAAGACCCTTGTATGTTGTTGCTCTATTAAATATTTATCTAGTAAACCTAATGAATGAGTCAGTGAGCGCCGTAATAGAACTCAGCCTTTGTGATTATGGATGATACATTAAATTGGTGCAGACTTTTATATAATAAAGGACTCTCCTGTAGGAAGAAAGTGGGTGTTTAATATTTCCTGTCTGCCTTTTGTATTATTAGAACACTGGCGTTCATCTATTGAGCGTCTATCGGTGTAGGTTGGACCAGAAATGTGGAGATTCAAACACCTTTCTCACTAAAACGGTAACAATGATGATAGATTAATCCTCAGAACTATATGAGTGCATATTTTATTTATTTATGTAAACCCTCTGAACCCCAAAACCAGCCTGAAGGTTTGAGAAACACGTCATCTGGAGAAAGTGGCAGCGTTTCATCAGAGCCAGAACCCGTAAGAACAGAACGAATCATTTGTGATGTTCAGATTCAAGCTTTAAACTGAGACGTTTCAGAAAAGTCGTTTTATTCTACATGTCTCACTTTTAAAATCCCCCTAAAATAAACTATTGACACTGACCAGACAGATTCCACAACTTGCAGCAAAACTGCAAAGTCATGATTAGCTCAGCTGAGGCCAACGATGACGTGGCGAAAATTCAAGGACTCCTCGGCTGAAGTGCAGGCCGTGTGAACACAGAACCAAAAGGAGAAAAGTGTGAAAACAAACTAGTAATGTAAGTATTCATAAACATCCTAGAGGCTGCAGACAGGAGCTCACGGTGGCTGTGGATCTGAAGGGGGGATCCGTGGAACAACACGCCACTAAACACGCTATGACCACGGATATGTCACTGATGACGCGTCCAAGCAGCACCAGAAGGTGCATCAAAGCTCTTTAAATATATATAGTATGTGGAACCATCGCAGTATGTGTTGGTAATACCTCTGACCACATCGTTGTAAAGCTAATATTTAAAGAATTAAACTTTTTCAAATCTATAACTGAGTTGTTTTGCCCACCATAGATTTTTAGGCTTCCTCTACTTCAAGCCGTCGTCGTGCTGTTTCTACAGAGCTGCAGGACTTTATATCGGGAGTAAAAACTGCCCAGAAACTACAGAAATGTTGCCTCTTGATGTCCACATCTCCGGCTGCTCGTGGATTAATAAAGCTACAGAGCCAGTTTTGTACCTGAGAGACCCAGAAGTGGGAATTTCAGTACAGCTGTTCCTTTAAAATAACCTCCTGCACCTTTCTAACTCCATGAACCTGCAGCCATGTGTGGTGAGTGACCACCAGGATTAAATAATCCCAACATGCCGATAAGTCCACCGTCCTGCTCCACCTTCTCCACCGGCTCTCCATCACCTCCTGGGTGCTGCTCTTTGCCTCTGAACCATCCTCTGCTCTCTCCTCCTGTGACCAGGCTGTGTTCTCATTAATGCAGGACAGATGAAGATGAGGGCAGCATCTTGTTTCACCAGAGGGCCCAGCACCTATCACAGGCCCGGGCAGGACTGACATCACACTTTCATCAGCAGCGGCCCACCAGAGGCCCGTTCAGAGTAACCGGACGCGCTTCACTAACCGGGCCGGATAAACAGACCCGTGTTCAGTAACAACCGTCACAAATAAGGCATCTTTTACGGTGTAATGAACCGACGCTAAGTTTTATTTCTGTGGTAAAACGCTGACATCTTCCAGCTAAACGCAGCTCAATCTGCTGCCTCTCAGCTCCAGGGAAGAAATCTTGCAGAGAATTCACGTCTCAGCACGACTGAGTCCCGTCGCCACAGAAAAGCACAACAAGAACTTTTATCTCTGCAGCTTTACGAGTGTTCCTTTGTTTCTGGCACCAGGTTGGAGGTGTGGCGCTGCACTGACGGCAGCTCAAACCGTCGCATTTATCGTCTAATAGATTTGAACCCAGTTCAACCTATTGAGCAATGACAACTCTACATCTGGTTCTGGTTCTCCCGCTTCGACTGAAGACGTAGCAGCGTTGAAATGTTGGTTGGCACCATTACAGGAATTGATCGGATTGATTTTTTGCATTCAAAGACAGCAAATTGTTTTGGAACCACTTGGATCTTAAGGAGTTTCAGGTTCTTCAGGGCGGAAAAGCCTCAAAACCACATTAATCACCAAACTGACTGGGTCAAAAGTGGTGAACTCATCATTACTGTTATGATCTATGAGTTTAACTGATCAAGTGGGAAACAGGACCATCCATCCATCCATCCATCATCTCTTCACCTTAATCCTCACCAGGGTCATGGGGGGCGGAGCCTATCCCAGCTGACTCAGGGTGAAGGCAGGTTCACCTGGACAGGTAACCAGTCTATCACAGGGCTACACTTAGAGACAGACAACCAAGCACACTCACATTCACACCTACGGACAATTTACAATCACCAATTAACCTCAGCATGTTTCTGGACTGTGGGAGGAAGCCGGAGAACCCGGAGAGAACCCACGCTGCACGGGGAGAACATGGAGACTCCACGCAGGAAGATCCCGGGTGTCCTCACTGGGACGCGAACCGACGACCTTCTAGCTGTGAGGCCACGGTGCTAACCACTGATCACCTGCAGCCCGGAAACACGACTAGTGCAGGTTTAACAAACTGACAACAAACGGATATTGATGGATTTTTTCGGCCACTTTGCTGCAAGACGCTGATGTAAAACTCCACATCCTCGTCTGTATCTGCATCTAATACAGCAAACATCAGCTTCTTGAGCCACTTCCGTTGTTCAGTACCGGGTCGGTGGCTTAAAATGGATTTTGCTGCCTGCTGAAAACTTCCGGAAGTGTTGAGAGTAAAACCAAAAGAGCAAACAGTCATGTTGGCACATAGAGGTGGTTAAACTGCAGACTCTGGTGGAAATTCTCTGTGGGTTTTAAAGGAATGACCTCTTTCAAATTACACATAGTCAATTAATAATAAAACAGTAATACTAGCAGCTGTGATTTATGTTTATTACGTAACTCACTGAAGCCTGTTTCATTTCTGTTTGGGAGGAACACAGGACAAAATTCAAACCAATAAGTCGAATTTGGACTCTCTAATCTTCAATTATGCAAAAATAATAAAAAGCAAAGACTCTTGGCGGTGAAACTCAGCTCATACGTGCACATTTACATGCACATTTTTCAACCTGCCTACCTCCCCGATAGCCTGACGTCTTTTATCTGCTACCTGATGTGATACCGGGGGCTCGTTGAGCAGATGGCACAGCTAGCCCTTGTCATCATCACGCTGCAGAGGCCCTGAGATATAAAGGCTCTGCGTCCCTCAGTGCTGACGGTTAACAAGGAGGGGAGAAGCCAGAGAAACCGGAACATCTGGCGAGGGGAGAGCAGGTAGAGGACCTGGCACGGCAACTATCTGACACCTCAGCAGACAGATGGAGGGACTGTGTGTGGAACAGAGACTTTATTCACATGTCAGCAGTTTGAGTCGGACGCTCGGCCTCTGGAGCCTGACTGCGTTTCGTGGTGTTTCGGTGTTTTGCAAACTATTCTCCTGCTCAGTATTTAGAATAACCTCTCACGTCCTGCTGCTTCCATATAACATGAGCACGTTAATGCGTGTTCGTCACCCTCTCATCTCAGTCCTGACGACAGGAAACCTGCCGTGGGTCGCTTTACTTTATCGGAGTCTCTGATCACACTAAAGAAGGAGGGCGGTGTGGTGACCGTACCTACAATCATGTGGTTGCAGACGTCGCAGAACGTGGGCTTCTTGAAGATGTGCTCCATGAAGCAGTGCCCCGCCGAGTCCACCTGCAGCGGGTTGCGCGACTGCGAGCGCGAGGTGGGAGGAGGAGCGCAGGGGATGGCCGGCGGGACCGGAGGGATGGGGAGGTTGGTGGAGTGCGGCGGCGCCATCCCGATGTTGCAGAGGTGGCCCGTGCTGCTGCTCACGTCGGACAGCAGCTCCGTCTTGTTCTCGCTGCTCGTTCGGAAGAAGTTGTCGGCGCTCTTGCTGCGGATGCTCTTGGTCTTGAAGGACAGCGAGCGTTTGAGCTTCTGCAGCTGAAAAGAGAGAAGAAGAGTTGAAGAAAAATGGAGCAAAAAAAGGAGGAGAAAGAGACAGAGTGCTCGAGGGAAACATTCAGAGCAACTGAATCGGACGTGAAGTTAATCAATTTGTGTAATAACCTAAATAAATGACAAGCCTCTGAAGCCGTCGGGCAAACCTCAGAGTCCGGAGGCCGATGAAAAAGGGCCGGTACCGGGACCAACTCATCACGGCTCAGTGAAAAACCTTCGAGGTTCCCTACCTGGAAGCTAATGTGATTTCCGAGTTGGGCAGATGCTTTACCTTAACACAATCTCTCACACGCCGCGCTGCCGTTTCTGGCTGCAGCCTCCATCCATCTCATTAGGCTTCTCCTTTACAGTCAGACTATTCATAACGCTCCACGCTGACAACTCCTCATTTAACCTCTCAGTACGCGCCTCGTCTCCAGTGAAACCCACTTAAATCTGGCCTCAAACACGCAATAAAGAACCGCTAACCAGCTGTAATGTGACTTCTGGTTTCTGGTCGGTGTGTGGCTGCAGGTCTCTGACTGAAGAAACAGATTATGCTTTTTGATATTTAATGATGCATCAGATCACATCACACAGGGCGGGTTTGCCTTTACAGCTGTAAACACGAAGGCGAACACTCTGCGTTCAAGGCTGATCGTTCCTCTTCTGTCTTTGTGCAGAACCAGATCTAAACTACAGGAACATTATGCAGATGAACGTGCATGCATCGTCTGTCATTTTGGTGAACATCCCTGTGCAAATTGTTCGGAGAGCTCATCGCTGCAGCTTTGGTCTGGTGAGGATGAATCAATTCTACGGGTCACTCTGGAAACAATCAATTTGGACCCTCTCTCTCTCTGCCGTTACCACCCACACACATGGACGCTCACACTCAGGCTGACATGAACATACAACACCAGCACATCCTCCTGCAACCCTCTGCATGAATTTAACACATCCTGAAAAGAAAAGCGGTGGTTACACAAACCAGATGATTGTTCCTCTCATTTCTCCATTATGCATTCTACTTATCTGCAGAGGCTGTGGTGATGAAACACACGTATTTCTTTCCTACGTTGTGGTTTTATGTGTATAGGATGAAATTTAAAAAAAGAAAAACAATCTTAAAACACAGTGCGATAACGTGTGCATGCATCGAAGAGCTCATGCTGTGTTTTGATGGCACCAGATCTATAAGAGTTGTGTTCCATCACAGAGCGGGAGCGTTAATGGGGGCTGGGCGGAGGAACTGCAAAACAAACTGCCAAAGCCATTTATAGAAATAAATACATTTACCGATGCAGCTTGGAACAGAGTGCCCTCTAAAAAACAAAAATAAAAATAAAAAAACATGGGTGATGATGGATTGTTGTTTTTTTTTTACGTTGTTTGGCACCGACTCCGTCTTTAAAAGCAGTAAAAGTTGCACAACGTGGGACAACTTTTATGTGCATGCAGCTGTGCCACTAGGATGAAATCTACAGTTTGCACAAGAGTGGAGGCTCACCTTGCGCTTGTGATGTTCAGGCCTCACAGTATTCTTAAAGGAGGGATAAAAACACAAACACAGCTTTACTTAACGGTGGTAAACGTGTGCATCCTACTGGGAGGGAAGGGAAACAGATTCTGTCTGTCAGAATGATTAAACATGATCTTTAATCGCTTCATTTTTTATTTTTTATTCTACCTGAGATGTTGGAAGTGAGTGTAGTTTGTTTGGCAGAGGCGTTGAAATTATGTAAAGTCAGTCAGGACTCTCTTGAAATACCCAGCGATGAGTGCCAAAGTAAGAGTTCACGTGGAGAAATTCTCTCCCAGGTGAAGCCGAGAAAACTTGAGCAGCAGCAGATTATGCAGAAGAACACGGAGATGAAATGAGCTCGGTGTGTCCTGTGTGGGACTTTTGAGGACAGGAGCTGCTGAAGCTGTCCACTGCTGCCATGACTCGTCCAATATTGTTCTGCTAATTGTAGTAGTCTGGGCAACATGTGACCCACATAGTTGATAAAAAAAGAAAGAAAGAAAGGCCCGAGGCAGCCATGGATCTCTATCACACAGCCTCCCTTCCCACTGCAGCCAAGGATAAAGCCATGTGCAACTTATTTATAAAGATATACACGCATTATGAGCTCCATGTTGTTTTCTTTACCACATCATGAACCTGTTTACTGGCTAATCAAGAACTTTAAATGTCCTCTCCGTGCTCCTTTATGCACTAATATTGCATTTAAATACCAAAATCCATATGAGGTTATTTCACGTTCTGCCCTAAAGAAGAAAAAACACGATTACACTTTGATTAAAGTGATATAAGCCCTGTATATACAGTATGTGGAGCTTTAATGATGGAGTTTAAAGGGATTCCATGTTCATCTAAAGGTCATTTGTACAGCTGGTGGTATTTTTATAGAATCATTTTAAGATTGAATCAAGTTCAGGATGCTTTTTTTTTTAAGGTGAATCAGACAGAAATCAGAGTGCTCTTTCTGGGAGATGATCCCTGTTGAGTCGATTTTAATTTCGTGTTGATGGAAGTTTGTTTGCTCTGCTGTAGGAGCGATGCGCAGCCAATCTGTCTGCTGGTGGATGAGGAATAGGAACAGGACCGTCCTACCTTGGTTTCCTGCTGGCTGGCGTTGGCCGTCGGGGATTTGGGTGTCTCATTCTGGTCCCGTTCGTCCTCTTTGCCCCCACTTTCGTCCTGAATCATGTTGGCCGGTGGGATCATCCTCTCTCTTTCTGTGATCTCTTTGAAAGAAAAAAAAGCAGCACTGTTGCTCTCTAGAGTTTGTTTCCCTCCCCGAGCTGTTTACATCGTTTCCATTCCTCTAATAGTCATCATGACCCGAGGATAAGAGAAGTCATCCGCCGCTGCTGCTGTAAAGAGATCCGAGAGGACAGAGATGAGGAAAACGTCTTGACGGGAGAGAGAGAGAGAAAAGCGATTTCCAAACTGAAAAAAAAAGAAAGTTGAAAGTCGTTCCAGCTCGGCTTCACGGTGTCCTGCTCGTCTGAGGAAGGCTGAAGCGTTTCTCGTGGCGTCGCGCGTAATGCTGCCAAGACATCTCCAAGTCCACGCTGTGCGCCGCGCGCTGCCGACAGCCTGCTCTGATGGGCGGAGAGCTGGAGGAGGTGGAGGGAGGGAAGGAGGAGAAGAAATACGACACAACGACGCTGTCTTGCCAGTTTTTTTTTTTTTTTTTTTTTTTTAGATGCAAAACACAGTCACAGAAAATGAATAAATACAAAACACCCACATACTCAAATGGAAGAAGACGTATGTTCAGTCAGCTGATGGCATCATGATGCTCAATGCACGTGTTCTTCTATTAATACACACTTCTGTATAGATGTCTTTTAAGAGCTTCATCTCCCTTTGTTAGCGTGATACAAACAGAATTATCTTTAAACACGTCAAATAAGATCCATTTGAGCATCTAATGACTCATGTAAAGGTTTGGATATTTGCCTCCCATCCACTCATGTTTGAGGCTGATTTAAATCATAATCAGTGTCTTGTTTGAGTTTCCAAAGAAAAGTTAAAGGTTGGAAGTTCTTGACATCAAACAAGCTTCTTCTCTCACTGGAAAATCCACATTTTATACATAAATAATACATTAAATGTAAAATTTATCCAGTATCTGTACAGTGAATGTCAAAGATGAGAGAAACAACGACCCAGATAGAGTTTTATACTGAGGACGACGTTGGCTGATCTTAACATGAAGACCAGGAAACATTGGTCAGGTAACATCTGTAAACATCACGAATCAACACTTTGGATCATGGTCTGCTCCTACACAGCGCCTTCATCCAAAGTGCTTTACATTCTCATTCATACACCAGAGCTGCCATCAAGCTGCTGCCTGCCATCAGGAGCAACTTCAGGTTCAGTGTCTTGCCCAAGGACACTTCCACTGTGGAGGGAATCGAACCACCGACCGTACGATCAGAGGACAACCACCTACCACCTGAGCCACAGCCGCCGTTTGTATGGTTCATTTAGGTTTAGGCTGAACAAGAACAACATGTAAAAAGTTAATTCATACAAAGTTAAGTGTCCAACTTCAGGACCTTTGAGTCTTTCCATCCAGCTCTCCGTCACAAAGTGAACAAACACATCGCTGAAATGTCGAGCCATCACTGAATCAGTAGCGACAGGCCCATCTGTTGAAATGAACCATACTTACACACTGATCAGCTATTATTTAGGAAACAAACAACGTCATGACGCTTCAGCTGTTTTTATGTTTTTTTGCAGTGAGATATGAGGCATCTCGCCCGCCTCGGATGGGATAGGTGTGATGCTCGCTGTAGTGATACATCACGCTGCCTCCCTCCGGGCTCCCTTGTGATGTGATGTCCTTGAAGTTGTGTTGCAGGACGAAGGAGGCAGACTGCAGCCTCCTCACTCTGACAGGAATGCAAACAGCAGCACGGTCCCGAGGAGCGGCTACCCGTTTTATCCAGATCAGACGGGATTCCCTCCCTAAAAACTCTCAGAAACGTGCCTCTGAAGGGCAGCTTGCAGGCTGTCAGACTACACGTTACCCCGTCCCTGTGCATGCGTTACTGCTGCACCTCTTATGAAATACAAGCTCTTAATTTACAGCATCGTCAAAAAGCCTGAGGAGGCATTAAAGAGCCACACATCAAGCACTGCAGAATGAGAGACGCATCCCAGGTAACGTCTGGGCATCAGGCTATATATATCTGCAGCAAATCACTGATGGAGTCCAGGCCACAGGTTGTTTACAGTGTGTGTGTTCAGGTGTGAAGACGGTGTTGTTTGTCCACAGCCTGTCTAGACTCTGGACTCACTGCCAAAGAAGCAGACAAAGCTCCCAACAGTCTTTCATACACAGCGAGGAGGAGCAAGTGCTCTTCATCAGGAGTGTGACTTTACAGCGTCTGAGCGTAGCGCCGAGGCTGTGAGACGGCTCGGCGTTCTGTCAGCGTCGTAGGAACGGCTTCAGCTCATTGGTGGTCTAAAACGAGCCTCTCGTCTGCAAATGAGCAGAGGTCTTTCACCACCTGGAAAAAGCACCAGACAACACATCCTCCCCCCCAACCACCAACCACCAACCACCCAACACCTCCAGCTAGTCAGCGTGAGTCAATGTTGAGCATGTATGTCCGTGTGCGTGTGGTCACCGTGAATCATGTCAGCAGGAAGAACCGAACGCATGACCAGTTGTGCCAGGAAGCAAGAGAGCTGAGCGAGACGGGAGAGAACATTATAATTTCCTCCCTCAGCTGCTGGGCCGAGGGAGGGCGCGATGAGACCAGAGGGGGGAGACGGAGCGACGGGGGAGGATGGAGGAGAGGGACGATGGGGGTTAATTATTCCAAATGAGAGGTTTCATGAAGGCGACGCGAAGAGTCAAGTTGTGCAATTTCATGGCTCATGGTTCCTTGTAGGAAAGACAGAAAGTTTTCCTTTGCTCTAGTTTTCCTTTGTGTCTTCATGTGATCACAGAATCCTGTTCATAGAAACCACACAGGCTTCAGAACATTAGAGACACCTCAACGTGTTTCCTCCTGTTTACCTGCCGCCGGACGAGACCGCCTGGAAAACATCTGAGCTGTTTAACAGATGATATCAGGAAGTGAATTCCCTCCAGGGACAGATTTCTGTTTGAAGGTTTATGATCAAACCATCCTGAGATCCATTTTTTAGACCTTTAGCTGTCTTACATATAAACAGCTGGAGATCTGGTTTAAAGTCTGATGAGATCCTCCGAACATGGGATCTGATTGCTCCTAAAAAGGATTTAATATGTTTTTATTCGCACTAATTTATTTCTAGATTTGTTTTTATATTAATGCAGAAGCCTGTTGGAGATCAAAATAACGATATTGTTGTGCAGAGTTGAGTTTTCTGCAGCGAACCGTCACTTGATCACACTCGGCTTCACGCGTGTGGCAGACCTGTTGATGAGGGAGAGTATTCTGGGATGTGCTGAGGTGTGTGTGTGTGATGTAACTGTGCTTCATAAGCATTTTGCAGGTTGCTGTCACGGAGTTGTAAATGGTTGTTATACTGTTTTAGTGCCTCGCTGCATATTTAACGACTTCACACATGAATGTGTTGTATTGATTTAAAAAAGGAGGAGATAATAAGGTTCTGCAGATGTCTGAACTGATCGTAATAGATCGACTCAGTCCAACATCCAGCCAAGACAAATCGTTTTGATAAATCTTGCACCGAAGCCAGGCTTTTGGAAATACACTTCTATGAATAATAGATGTATTTTGATTTCCTAAGTCAGAAAATAATCTGCACTCGGGGTTATATTAGGCAGAGACTGTACAGGCACAGGCAGGCTGTGAATCCAGTGATAACATCAGCATAACGCCAACATGGTGATGTTTAGCAGCCACAATATCCACAATAAGTTTACTGTGTTAGCATCTCCTAGCTGGCACTGAATACACTTAGTGGTACAAAAAGGTACAGCTCAGACAACGGGAATGTTTTCAGTTCTTGCAGGTATTTAGTTGAAAACCAACGTATTGGACAAACTGAAATTCTGACTCAGTGACAACACTC